GAGAGAGAGAGAGAGAGAGAGAGAGAAAGAAAGAAATAGAGAGAGACAGAGAGAGACAGAGAGAGACAGAGACAGAGACAGAGACAGACAGACAGAGAGAGAGAGAGAGAGAGAGAGAGAGAGACAAAGAGAGAAAGTAATGTAAACAGCGTACCTCCTGCTTCCAGAAAGCCATTGGCAGATACATGACACCAACACCATTGGGTGACCTGAATAAGGTTCATTGACATAGACATTCTACGAGTTGTTAAATAGCGCTGTCAGCCTAAAACAAGCACTTTACTAAACCCGCTTTGTTCGTTGTTTCAGCACAGAGAAGATAGGTTAGTGTTTGAAAACAATCCCAAAGTTAAATAATAATATATTCTTAACCTATTGGGCAAATACACTCACGGCCAAACAGGATTTCTAAAGTGATATCCTCCCATTTGCTGTTTTTCTTTCTGTTTGTTAGTTGTTTTTTTTAAATGTTGGCTCCATAAAATCACTCTTAAAGATTGCCAGATGTTCCGCAAACATAACAGAATCAGAAATCTTAAAGCCAAAACTAATGGAAAGCTCAAGAGTCTTCAAAAAGCTACAATAAAGACGGAAAGAAAACGATTAAGTTGAAAAGAAAAAGAGTGTATATAATCAATTTATACTCGAAACACGAGCCAAAAAAATGCATGTATAAATATCAGCAAACACAGGGGAGACGGGTGCTTTAAGGTTCCGTTTTTTTTATCTTAGTAATCAACCTTGGCATCGCTTGAGAGGAGTTGAATAAAGTATTAAAGAGATATTGTTTTGCAAATACATTACATGAATAGGTAAGTTAACTTAAGGACAAAATTCGATTGACTTCATTAAATGATTAAATTATAGAGACGTTTATTATCTTTGCTTAAGTGGTGAAACCCAAGGATCATAACAAAAACGACCGGTGAAAATTGAGAGCAGTTAATTTCTTAATTGCCCTCCTGGAAATGCTCGTTATCCCATCTGTTTACCAGCTGACACCTGCTTTCGTCACCACATAACCCAGTGAACCCTTATGCGGACACATGTGCACAATGTGCTCTTCAAAAACACACAAATGTTAACACACACAGACGCACGAGCAAACCCACAGACGCACGAGCAAACACACACACACACACACACACACACACACACACACGCACACACACACACACAAACACACACACACACACACATTGCCACACTATGGTACACGCAAATAAAATACTCTTTAAAGCTTCAGTTTCATTCGAGCAGCGCACCAGAATATATCCCATTTTAGCTACACACTAACAACACACACTGACTCACAGTCAGACAAACACACACTCACACACAGACGCACACACAAACACAAACGCAGACAGGCAAACACAAACACCCACGTCCACACTTACACACAAACACAAGAGAACCCCCCCCTCCTCCTCCCCCCTCCCCCCAGTTTCCACACATGCACATCACAAACAAACGCAC